CTGTTCATCATCAAATATGATATGATTTTCCAGAAACTATTGAAAGGTTACTACAAAGGTTATTCAAAAACATGTAATTTTTTGGATACCATTTGCATTTAATAGGATGTATTTATTTAGATGTTTTTGTATTTACCTGTCCGTACGATAAGCTATTAATTTTGTAAAAATCTAACTTCGCAGGAAATGGCAATACATTTGGAAGCGAAAGATCTTTAGTTTGCTAATTCTGAGTTCGCTTCTTTTTCGAAAACGTTTCTATATTCGTGTAAAGTAATTCGGATGGAAAGTAAGAAAAGTTTTACTTTTACTTTCCCAAATATCGTTGGAAACATTCTTTTCATGAGTCACATCATTCCTTAGAATCTCCTTCATTATATCGACATATCTATGATATTTCTTCGTCACTTTATCGAGGCTTGAATATTAAAGCTCAAGAAATTCTAACATTTCGTCGTCGTAACTCTAACTTCTTTCAAAGTGAACTGAAAGATCCCGATCTGTGAAGTGAAAGTTCAATCGTCGATCGTTGATTAAATTTTCCACCCAACTCTGCTCGCAAGTGGCTAATAACTGATCACAAATATCTCTGTATCAAATTATGCTTTCTATGTTGTGAAACGGTGGTGCAAGGCCGTGCCGGTTATCGGCGGGAAACGCAGAAAATTCTAACGAGACGAGGCGATCGCCCTTTCGAGTACGTGTGTAAAGCGTGTAATTCAAGAGATCGGTCGAGTGCAGCGGAGCTTGCATCAACGTTCGGCTTGCATAATCAAGCCGCGAGCACGTGTTTCCAAACAATCGCGAGTTTTGCATCGATCTTCCATCATCTCACGACATCGTCTCGCGTCGTCGATCGCAAAAATGTTCGAACAGTGAGTTTAATATTGTTTCTAAGCTGTCTGTGCTCGCGTCGGAACATGTTGCAATGCATCAGGAATAGATGACGAAATGTGCAGAATATCTTGTATTTCTTCACTCTGATATATTCGATAGAATGATGACTGAACGAACTTATTTTTAATCTCCAGTTCGACACTCTAATAAGGTAATAGCTAAGTTAAATTCAATATCATGAAGAACGTGGCTGCTATTATCCGAAAGTTCTGTTAATTATTAATATTCCATTGTCATATTACTATACATTAATTAATTAATTTATTTATTTATTTCATTAATTTCATTTTTATTAATTTAATATATATATAATTTACTATTTAATATTAATAATATAATAATTAATAATAATTAATATTTAATATATATATATATA